AGCGCCCGCGGACCCCTGGTGGGCACCCAGGGGGTGGGGGACGGGAGCCCCAGCTCCAGCCCTGGACCTTTCTGGAAGGTCGTCTGGCTCTACACTCCACTCCCGCCTGTTGCTGCGGATGCAACAAGTATCCGCATATCGCTGTCCAGCTCAAGGTCAGCCTAGGCCACGGGTGGGTCAGCCCGGCTTGGAAGGCCCAAGCGCCTCCGGGGAGGTGGCCACCCCAGCAGTGAGGGCAGCCCAAACCTCCCTGCGTTCCCCAGCTTCTCCATCGCCAGCTCCACCCCTTTCCAGTCAGCTTGTCTCCAGTGACACCCAGCATGTCCACCTGCATCTTGGCCAGAGCTACAAGACAGGAGCCTGTGATGAACCAGTTTGTGCCAGTTTGTACCACACAATGTCAGCTCAGACACAGCTGGAGGTGCCCAGAGTGGGGCTCTATCATGTAACTGTTCTGAATAAAAGCAGTCACTAAACATGATTTATATGGTTTTGTAAACCCTTCTAATAAAAATATTCACAAATAAGGGACAGTGCGCAGCTACCCTCCCCCCGATTCATATGTCCCCTAAGTGATGGCCATTTCTCCTGCAAAGAGATACCACCAGGCCACAGCAGCTTCTATAACTACAGTGTTTACAGTGGTAACTGCTAGCAAAAACTGCCTCCACCACCACCTCTCCTAGACTGGCTTACCACCTGATTTCTGTGTTGGCAATGGCTGTATTTTCCTACAGGAAATCTTGGTTGCTGAGCAAGTTTGTGACCCAGGAAGTAGCAGCTGAAACCTTGGGATGCTGATTTGAGGCTGCTGTGTACTCTGAGGTGAGTTCTGATTTTGCTATCGCACATTTACCAGTCAGGCCCTAGCTCTGACTTCCCCAGTGTCCATTGTAGATGTGCCTACCAGCTACTAAGGGTGTCCAGGGGCAGGCCAGAGACATGGCTCTTAAACTCTGGGGCAGATGGCAGAGTCCAGGACTCCTGATAAAGGAACAAGTTGACTAACTCTGTAGGTAAATTTCCCACTGATAGTACACACGTACAGCATATTGCAGAGTTCAACATCCTTGGGTGTGACATATTAGCTGTGTGTTTACAAGAGGGATGGAAAGCGATGGTTTTGTAACTCTTCCTATGGATTTGAAGGTATGGCTGCCTTTATACCTTGGTGTTAATGGTGCAGCTCTTGGATTGTACTAGGTGCTGCTCATTAGAGCCCTTTCACTATATTGAGTGAGGCTCTTAAAAAGCTATGGGCTCGGGCTGGGAAGGTGGCTCAGTGGTAGAGTGCTTGCCTTGCATGCATGAGGTCCTGGGTTTTTTCCTCAGCACCACATAAGCAGAAGAAGCCAGAAGTGGCTCTGTGGCTCAAGTGTTAGATGCTAGCCTTGAGCTGAAGAGCTGAGGGACAGTGCCCAGGCCCCACGACTGACAAAAAAAAAAAGAAAAAGCTATGGGCTATCTCTGGGAGACTTTGAGAGGTCAGCATTAACATTTTCTATAGCACTCGATAGCTAAACTTAACTGGCCATGAGTGGCTGTGGAGAGCCAGCTTTCTGGGTGCTCAGGGCTCACAGATACCTTCCTCTGTGCTGAAGTTTTGTAGTGGTGGGGAAAGAAGATGGGAGCAGATAGCTCAGTGGCCTCTGGCTCCCTAGGAAGGGTTGGGGTATGGCCATCATTGAGAGCTAGGGTAGGGCAAGTCCAGGGAAGAGGACTACTCTTGGAGCACTACCCTCAGAGCTAGGCAGTCCATCTCCAAGTAAGACCCCCCACTCCCACCACACTTGAGGGATTCCTGAGTCACACCTGGTCACATGCTCATTGGATGCCTTGCAGCGTGGCATTCTGGGTGCAGAGTAGTGTTCATGCAGGAAGGTACTTCCTGGATCTGCTGGGCACAGCACTTGTCTGCTATGCTCAGGCTGTACCCAGTGCCCTTGGGACCTAAACTTCTCTCCCAATCCAGCTCTGGGCATGAAAATGCTTATTTCTTGACCAAAGGAGAATAGTGATGGCCAGAGGTGGTCAAAGGATGATTCCTTTGTTAGTAAGCTCTAGCAAACCCCTCATGTGGTCAGGATCGCCTTGCCATCTGAAGAGGGGGCCTCCAGATGGGAAGGACTAAGATAGATGAAAGGCTTAGATGGGATCCAGGTCCTGACTGGAGAGTCCTTTCCCCGAACCCACCAAAGTCTCATCATTGCTTCCTGCCCCATCCTGTTGTGTTCCCCATTTGCTACCCAGTATACCGTTGGTGAGACTTGAGTTAGGGAAGAAGCGTGAAGCTGACAGCAGGTGGACTGTGGCCAATGGTGATGTCCTGGGTTCAGTAACAGTGGACCCACATGGGGGTCTGGAGGGAGGGAAAAGCTACCTGGTCCTTCAAGAGAACCTTAGAATGCTAATCCCAGGCTGCTTTGAGACCCAGGAGCCTGGTTGTATCTGTCCCTACACTAACAATGAGGCTGAGCTGGCAAGAGATAGGTGCTCCTGAGAATGAGGCAGGCTGTAGATCAAGAGCTCAGTGGGTGGTAGTGCCTTGTGTGGACAGACTTCAGAGTGGTTCAGGCCTTGAGGGCCTGGCTTCTCACCACACCTGGCTCTGGAACAGCCTGCTAGGCTCTGGCCCGACTGGCTGCAGGGGTCTTGAGCCAGAGTGTGAATGAAAGGTAAGCAGGGGCTGCTGGTCCTCTTTGCTGCCCACCTGTAGTTTCATAGAAGACAGTGTTCTCTGAACTGACCAGGCCCTGGAGACAGTATTGGGTGTTGGGCTAGGACAGGAGCCGGGATGTAGAGTGGGACCCAGGTGGAGGTGTGGTGTGTACTTCCCTCCCCTTGTTACTCATCTAGCTCTTGGCTGGCCTCTGTTGTGTGTCTGAGTGTGCTGCCACGCCCCAGGATAGAACTGGCAGGGCCTTGGCCTGGCTGACAGCATCTTTTCCAGCTTTTTTTTGTTTTGTTTTTGGTCGGTTGTGAGGCTTGAACTCTGGGCTTGGGCACTGATCCTGAGCTCTTTAGCTCAAGGCAAGTGCTCTGCCATTTGAGCCACAGTGCCACTTCTGGTTTTCTGGTAGTTGGAGATAGGAGTCTCATGGACTTTCCTGCCCAAGCTGGCTTTGAACCTAGATCCACAGATCTCAGCTTCCTGAGTAATCCACAGGCGTGAGCCACTGGTACCCAGCTCTTTTCCGGTCTTTGCTTGTGTCTTAGCCAGGCTCAGGCAGCTCTCTGGCCTCCTGTGAGAGCTGAGTTTAAGTTCTGGAGTGAGACTTATGTTGGCCCTCCTGTCCCCTGCAGTGCTGGACAGTTCACCTCCCAGCTGCAGATTCTGCTGGGTAAGTGAGGCGGAGAGGAAGCTTGTGGTCTGGGAGTTTCTCAACCCTCACACTGTTCAAGTTCTTTTTTTTTTTTTTTTT